AAGATTCATGTGGATCCAAGTATGAAAATTATAGCAATAAAAAATTAAATACTTCAAATACGATGAAGAATTTGCTAAAGAAATATTTTTAACGATTGTTGAAGAGAGGAAAAGAAGAGATGAAAGAGAAGAACTGCGAAGGAAAGCAGAAACTGAGGATCAGAGAAGGAAATAAGGAATTGAGGAACAGAGAAGGAAAGAAGAGATTGAGGAACAGAGAAAGAAATAAAAGGTTGAGGAATAGCGAAAGAAAGTAGAAAAGGGGAGAAAAGAAGAATTAGAAGCACTGCAGAAAAGAAAGCAAATGAACTGAGGAAACTCGAAATTGAATCTCGTTCTTGACTAACACAAACTCCACCGACAAACGAAATTGGACAATGCAATTTCGATTTAATTAAACTTATTCCTAAGTTCAAGTTAAGAAACTATGATATCCTTATTTGAAAGACTATTTATTTATCCTTACTTGAAAGACAAGCTAAAAGAGCAAAGATTGATCCTAAAGACTCTGTATCATGTTTATTGACTTTAATGCCATCTGAAATCCTTCAACAAATTGGTAAAGAATCTGAAGAAAATTTTGAGGAGTACATTAAAGTCGTCTCATTGAAGAGATTTAAATTAAATCCTGAAAGCTCTGGAAAAAAAGTTTGTGATGCACCAAAAGAGCACTGAGAAATCATGGAGCGATTTTTGCTACGAAATAACAAGTTATTTTGAAGAATGGATCAATGGCTTTGAAATCAAGAACTTTGTCGCGTTAAAAGGCACAGACTAAATTAAGAAAAGAGTGTCTCTTGAAGTAAGGGACCATCTTGACGATTGGGTGAAGTTCGTTTCTCCAACCAAATTAGCGGATAAACTTGACGAATACGACAGTGTGCGTAATTGATGGTAGTCCATCGAAAGACAAAACTAATGAAGAATGGCAACCTCTTTCTCCATTTCCAGAAAGGACTTCCAAAAACAAATCTTTCTCCGTTCAGAACACGCAAAGAGTAAATCCTTCCCGTAAGAATGACCAGCCATAAAAGCCAATTTCCAAACGAACTTGCTGTAATTGTGGGAAAGAAAGTCATACATCTAAATTCTGCACCAAAAATCGGATAAGGAAAAATACTCCTACAACAGCGCAAAGCAATTTAATCCGAACACAAACAGCCCGTACAAAAAAGGAGAAACCAGAAGTACTAACTGCCAAGATCTCCATTCACGTCTCAAAATACGTAGACCCATGTATCAACATAGGTGATTTGTTCTAAATAGAATCGTAGACATGGGAGCGCAAATTTCAGTAATCCGTGAGAGACTGGTTGACGACATACCTTGCGAAGAAGAAAGTAAAATAGAGATATCTTCTACTTTTGGTGAGAACGAAATTATTCCCCTGAGAATTTTGCAGATGAAAATTAGCGATAATAATCATGGTAGAGTGCCCATTACCTATGCTGTTTTAAAAAACCTAGTTCGACTTGTTACTGAGTTCTTCAGCTAATGAAATGCTCTGCGAAAATATTGAACTGTGTCTCAGTGATCGTCAGTAGGATGCATTTCCCTTAGAGTGTGAAGAATCAGACGACGAACCCTCACCAGCTGAAAACAATACTTCAGATTTAGCTGTTGTTAATCAGATTTCCCAAGGAAACATAGAAACCGTGGAAACAATAAGCAAAACAAGACTAGAATTTAGGGTACTTCGAGAACTCGAAAAAGTGTTTTGAATGAGCAAATAAGAATGAGAATTCATATGCTTTTTATAATGGCGTATTACTTCACTTTGAATATATCTGTGGTGAAAACATTAAGCAAGTTGCATTGCCTTTAGGAAAAAGAAAGGAAGTTCTGAGACTGGCATATGAAATCCCTCTGCTTGACACCTCGGTGACAATTCAACGAATCAAGTACTCATTCTTTTGGCCTACTATTAAGCAATATGTTAAAAGATTCTGCGTGAGTTGTAAAGAATGCCAATTAAGATGGACAATTACATATGAAGGCAGAATCCCAATTCAACCTATCGTTAGACAGGAAACATCCTTTGAAGTATGGAGCGTGGATTGTATCGGATATTAGAACCTCCATCTAGAAGAGGTCATCGGTTTGTGATATGTTTAGTCGATCTATGCACCAGATGGGCAGAAGCCACTCTCGTCAAAGAGGCAAGTGTGAAACGCCAAACGCCCCAACATGCAACGTTTTGATGAGGATTTTTTCTCAAACTGGATTTCCAAATCAAAACACAAAGCGTTTAAATCCCTTACGACAACAACAGACTGACATATTGAAAGTTTGAGATCATGCTCTCAAATTGAAGATTCAAAACTGGATCGTACACAAATTGAAAAGTGAAATATTTAGATTTGGACTTAACCAAAAATAAAGTATAAGTTTAAAAAAAGATTTCTTATTTTAGCAGATTAAGTGACCAGTCCTGTTATGAAAAATGTTCATGAAAGATCTAGATGAATACAAATTTTTCCGAAAAAGGAGAACATATTCATACAATCCTATAGAATTCACACTCCAGAAAACAATGGAAGACTTATGTATAGGTACATTACCAATTTATAACATTATTTGCATAAATTAAAAGTAAAAAATATTTTAATCTGGTGATTTTTGTTTAATATAACTCTTAAAATGATGCTAATGCATTACTCTTTCTTTTATTTTAATTATTTCTCTGTTTCTGTACATACATATTTATCAAGGATGGCTAAATTTTATGCCAATAGGAATCGCATGATAGAATTCAGAAAACTTCAAGAGCAGCAACTGCTTTCTAAAGGCTATAACTCAGAAATTATATCGCAGCGTAGTTAAACACTTCTGAATAGAAAAAAACATTAAAATTAAATTAATAAGAATTACTTTTCTTTACGTAGTTATTGTAGCTATGTATAAATGTAAATGAATAATTATTATTTCTTCTGGCTCAGTATCTAAAACAGCATTGTATTCCTGCTTACAAATTTGAAGTTGCTGTAATATGCAATAAACGTTCATTTTCAGACACACAAAGGAAAAAAATAGGCAGGAATCTTCTTCTAGTTTCCACTGGTGTTCATCTGGAATATTTGCTATTCTGAGCCAGTATTATTTGATTTAATCTTTTGAAGGATCAGAATTATTTTCAATCTCTTCTAAATTTCAGATTTATACATTACTTTGTTTTTGTTTGTTTGATTCTTTATTTCCGAAGTAAACATTTTCTTTGAAAAGTTTTCATAGGAAAGAGAATCTCATTTAACTACTACTTAGTTTGCGTTCATATTAAATAATTAACGAGTTCTCCTAATGATACTGCTTTCCAACTATTAGTTGTATTAAGAAACTGAAATATTCCGTTATTTAACTTTAAAAAAAAGCATGGATTTTTTTAATTATTAAAATTAGGCAGGTAAAACCTTTTATGCAGTAATGCAGAAATGTTAACTTGAAAAATGTAATTGGCGTTTATATATTGCTTGTAAGTCAACCGAGTTGCTGGTCTTGATTATCAGCGCAGGTTTAAAATTATTTTTGGTGTGTGTGTGTACTTTTGAAATTAAATCACCGATTAAGAAAAAGTGTAAAAGACGCGTGATGTCAGAAGTTAGGAATTGTTCAGTTCTAAATCTTAGCGGAGTAGTTCTGAGAAACTGATTACTGTTTTCAGGAGTTCAGTGAAAATGTGTTGCCTTATAAAAATTAAGTTCCGAATTAAAGTCGTCAACGAAGTCCTTTCTTCACATATTTTCTGAAATATGTTTGGAGATATATAAAGGGCAACATAAAATCTAGACAGTAGCACCTAACGCTTTAAATAAAAACGAACTGAAAAAGTGGGTGCTTATAAATATTCAACTTATACAGAGCAAACACGTTATAATGTGTCAAAGCACAAAGGGGGAAAGAGTGTGTATAAGAAAGATAACTGCAGAGGCATTCCTTCTGAAACTGAGATACAAATAGTTAAAAGTCGATGGTTTTATAGTTTTAACAACAATTGGTGAACAAGAACATACTAACAGATTACTTATTACTTTATTTGGAATATGATCTTACTTTATTACAATCTGTGGATAAAGCAATAGGATAACTATGCGAGTTATGTATATATATATATATATATATATATATATGTGTATACATAACATATATATATATATATATATAAATCAATAGCAATCAAAAGGTTAATCTTATGTTCGTCTTAATTATCCAAAAATGTATAAAATGAGTACGGGATTTGTCATGTCTTAAATTGTCAAATTCAAACTTATTATAGCAAGCAAGCGCGAGCCTAGGTTATTTGAATATAACAAGCTATCTGCCTAACAGCAGGAATGCCCTTGTGGGGCGGCTCACTAACGGCCGCTCGGTAAAGTCGCTGAGTTCTGGTAATTCGGTTCAGATATCAAGTCCCAGCGCGCGGCCAGGCTGCATGGGCGCTTTCGTGGTTTTCCTCATGTGTAAGAGGTGTATACGAGGCAGTATCTCTTAGAAATTCCTCCCCGAAGGCATCCTTTCCCTTTTCAGAGAGCGCTAAAGTGCTTTGTTACAAACCAAACCAGCCCTCGTGGAGAACTTTCTTAGAGAAACTGGCTCGTAATCACGCAGACAAACGACAGAAGCAACATAGTTATCTTAGCGAATTAGTTCTAAATATTATTCTTTGGTAAAAAGAGAAGGAAATACAGGCGTGTTCATTATTTAAACATAAAATAATTATGAAATACTATTTTGTAACAGTGAGGAAACAACAATATATTTTTTGTAAAATAACACTTTAAAAAGTGAATAATGATTAACAAACAAAATATGTTAACTGTTAGAATTAAAACTTTTGATCTCACATGAATTTTACTTCAATTAAAATTTTTTGGGAAAAGTATACTACAAAGTATGTAAGTTAAAATTTTTATCTAAATTTTTTGTAAAGAAACGCTTTACACTATCACAAATTCCTTTTTTTAAAACTTTTGCGCAGATATTACTATATAGTAGGTTTTTCTTACCTCCAATGAAATCTTAAAATCTGGCGATAAATCAAAACAAACAGTACAGTCCTGCAGTATTGCAGGACTTATTATATTAAGTGAATAGCTGAGCAAGTACACGTGTTGCCTTACTTCTTTCTTCCACCAAATAATTCCTATTCAAATGCAGCAACAGGTTTCTTATTTGACCTACATGTTTCAGAAATGAACCAGCACATCTGTGCCATGAATTCATAGTGACTGTTTCTTCCAGACACGCTCAGCTGCTCGCCGCTATTGATGTCAAATGAATAACAGTATGAACTCTTTGAGTGAACTGAGTAGATGCCTTTTACTTTAATTAAGAGTTCGCAAATTATGAAGGCTCGGTTAAATTTGAAATGATTTTATTCAAACGAATGTTTACAATCAACTGAAACTGTAAAAGTATATACAGCTGAACAATTTTAACACCTGCAAATACAAATATTTACTGTATTTTGACACATATATTTTTAACATTAAGCAGTATGCACAGACATAAAAGTCAAGTGCCCACCATTCGATTAAAAAAAAATTATGCATAGACAACTTGATATATGATACTTGATATAACTTGATCAACTTGATATAACTTGATATATTAAACTTGATATATGATATTACTTAGACCTTGAAATTTTAATGTTGTGCATTAATTGAATATTAAAGCTGTATTTGTAGCGATTTTATTATGTGACGAACATAGGCGTTTTCAAATATTTTGCTATATAATACTCCCCTTCCCCCCCTCTTTTTTTTTTTTTTTCATTTTTCCAATTTTCAAATTTTGTTTTAAGAAGAGGAATCATAGTCAATTTTCTGCTTAAATGCTTAACGCAAATAATAGCCATTTCACTTAGAAATCCTTCTGTTGATGATCCATTTCAAGCAGATTTTATTTAATGAACACTACCACAAATAAATTGTCTTCAACAGAGTGCTTCAGTGGTATTAAAGAGAATGATAATGCAGTGACTTAATTTCTAATATTCTTCAAATAACATTTTCTTTTTATATTCAAAAGCATTTATTTATTTTTAAAGATTTCTTAAAACAAATATTTCATAGTTTTTCTCTATTGAAAACCGTCCTATTGAAGTTAATGGCCAGCTTCTCATATTTTTTTATTTTATGGTTAAATCTTTCCTAGATTTGCATTTGACTGTCATCTAAGTAGGCACATCCTTCGCTACATATTTCGCTTTTTTGATTTGAAAATTTTTAACTACTTCGAGAAAACAGGAAATAATATTGTAAAAGGAATCTGATTCCTAGATTAGGAAAAATAATGAATGGCATCTCTAGATGCATGTTATGCATGTCATTAACTGATGTAATAGACATCAAAAAGTCTTCTCAAAACGTAACTGAACAAGGTTTTGTTATGAAATAGCCTACTGCAACATGGAAGACGCAGTAGATGACTAATACTTTTATAACAGCCATTAGAGTCGAGTGCATGATACCACTGAATATAGGCATAGTTCAATCCGGATTTCGAAACCTGGTGGATGGGTTGGCTGTGAGTGTGTTTTCCTAATTTACCTCTTGTTTAACGTAAATAAGAGTCACTTTCCCTTAGGAAGTCTTTTACAAAGTCATCCCTTCCTCTGAGCAGATAACTGTAGCTTACTTGGCCATAATCGATTAAACATCTTTGTAAAAAAACTTTAACATTAGCTACCGTCCAATAACTTCTTTTTAAATATATGGCGAATAAAATAAAATAAATAAAGTATGTAAGGTCCATAATATTTTTGGTATGACATTTTTCATTCCTCAAGCTCTTACTAAAAGCGTACTTTCCTTTAGTAAGGATTTTCTGAATAAGTCTTATGTCTCAGCAACAGTTTAAAAGTAAAGGTTGTATATAAAATGAAGAGTAGTATTAAAATAAATACTTATTTTTTACTATTATCCTTTTAATTAAAATACAGAGAAATCAAAATGTTTTTCCCTGGAGATCCAGAAAACAAAATACCGTGCTAACATCTATCTGATTATTCCGTTTATTTCCAAAAATCAATATCTCGTGTCTTTGATGTTTTTTTTTTACCCATGGAAACACAGAAATGCTTCAATACGTGCATCTGAATGAGTTTCCATGATAACATTGATTCCGGCACTGCTATTCAACTTCCAAAGCCTCGTTTTGCCGTCAATTTTTCTAATTTTTTACCTAGCGCGCCCAGTGAAAACACGTATTGACGCAATATTTCTTATCTTACTCTTTGATTTAAAATGCATTGCTAAAGATACAATTTTAGCTGTTACGAGCTGAAACTTCTCTATTGCTTGCTGAATTTCAAGTATTTAAAAAATAATAGCGAGATAAAAGGTAAGTAAATTTATTTTCCTTTTTTGTAACATCAAACATTTATATTATTCAGCATAAAAGCTCACTTTTTAATCATATCTGGAATCTTTATATCTGGGTTGATGTTACTTGTTTGAATACGCACTTGTTGCTCCCTATATTTGTATTTAAAGTTCTATTAGACTGAAGTAGTTAAAAAATTATCAGTTGTCAACCACATATTAAAAATTCATCAGGTATTAATCTGTCAAACAAAGAGTTATTTCTATTAAATAATTCAAATAATGTTGCCTTCAATGCTGATGCTTCTTCACAGTTTATATAGATTTTACCCTATCTGTATAAAGAAACAGAAGTACAAATCAAGCACACCTACTTGTTAGCACTACTCCTTTATATGTCGCTCAAGTGGTATAGTGGTTAGCGTCGTTGACTGCCTTGCCGAAGGGCCCAGGTTAGAATCCGGAGAAAGCATGGATGCTTGTAAATGTATAGTGTCCGTGCGGCATGGGGGCATTCTATATATGCGGCGAGCCGCAAGTCCTCTCGAGAGGTTGGTGGTAGGGGAAGAGAGGGCTGGTATACCCTCGGATCCGTCCGCCGGGGTGCTCTCTATCAAAATTGGGGGCGGGACTGAGCTAAATCGTACTGTCAGCTGTAAGGTGCTCAAGGCTGTTGCCAACGACCAGCTTAAACTTGCGCTCCTTGCCACGAGGAATTGCGTGGACTTAGGCTGACTATAGGTCAGACAAGTGAGCATTAGCAACAACATCTACTTTATAGAGCTTTAGCAATACTATTTCCATCTGTTTTAATTCTTTTGCAGACTAAGCAGTTAAACGTTTATCCAAGTACTTGATACATGAAGATTCTTTTCGCTATTTAAATGCGGTTTCTTCAGCTGCAAATGTTTTTCAAGATAATCACGAAGGTATTTCACCTTTAGTAAATATTCATTGGTATTAATGATGCGCAGTCAATTTTCAAATATTCACTGCTATTAGTAATGCTGAACAAAAACAATTAAAACTTCCGAAATTTTTTAACTCAATCTTAAATTAACAAACCGTGACCGAAACACAAGGGCTGAATAAAAAGAAGGACTACGCGTCGATCATTATGAAAATATTTTATTAAAGTGAGAACACTTACAGTCCTCAATATAATCGCTTACTCTTTTTATCTGCCAAATTACTAGAAAGCGTCGTATACCATCAGTACGTTCACTTTGTTGACGCTCTGCAGCCACCGCCCTAAAAGTGTGGATAACCTCCTCCTTTTTATCTATAGTAGTGAAATCTTTTCAGAATTATCGATGTGTTTCCACTACTTTTTATCCAAACTTTGTATTGTCTTAGCATATGAAGTTGTTTCAATCTTCTGCGATTAGTTATTTTAAATTTTAGTAACTCTTAACCGATGCCTATTTTACTCGTACTAATATATAACAAAAAAATAATGATTTCATTTAAAGTTAAAATACGCTTTCATTGAAATAGTTTATTTGAAATTCAGCTAAACAAAAACCATCATTATATATGAGCGTAACTATTTACTGAGAACTGGGGAACTATACGATGCCGGTTGAAAACCAGTATTCTTTGTAAAAATGTTCTCTGCGTGAAAAAGTGGTGCCGATATATCTATTGTATTGATTAGTCATGCTGAATAGATATAGTAGTTGTACTTTTTGCTGCTGAAGGAAAGCATTCCGTTCTCCTGCCTTCTTTTTTTGTTCTTTAATCTTTTAGCAGAAAATATACGATAATTAGTTAAACTATATGTGCTTAAAAATCTTTCAACGTCTTCTCATTATATGAGTCTATGAGTCTATGCATTTTATCTATGAGTTATGTATGTATTATCTATGAGTCTGTATGTATTTTCATCAACTTAATGCTCGTTTTATTATGGATATATCTAGTAACACGCAAACCCATATTTAGTACAGAAAACTGCTCTGTAACCGATAATTTAGTCATACGCAGCACGAATTTTGGTGGAGCAGTTAAAGTCCCATTTCCCACGAAATGCAGCTTTCGTTTCCAAAAATAAAAATAAAACAAAATAAATACTCAACACATCTAACTTACGAGACATCTATGGTCACACTTCGGTGAGCTTAAAAGCTAGTGGTAAAAATGCACCTTGGCGTAACGAATTCAAGACTCCTGATCTCATAAATTTAAATTCAGGTAAGGGATGCACTACTTTTCGTAGCTTTTTCACCGAATTTCATCTCAGTAAATATTCTCAAACGAGATTGGCACTCATCAGAAGTGAAGCTGCAACACCATGCAGACTGTGCGTGCTGCCAAGGAAAACATAGGTCGGGTACAGATGTCGGGAACATGCAAATGATTAACTTTTTAATTCAGTATCTCTTGTGGTCCCCATGGGTCTCTATATAGGTTCTCTGTATGATGTGATATATGATGGCGTGGGATATTATTCATCGCATTCATCGCGGCGGAGATACTTTCCATACTCAGTGGGATACCATACGGATTTAAAGCACTATCCCAGCGGAAAACACCATCTATCTAACAAACTATGATCAGGGTCACGATGGCAGATCAAATGGCATTTGGTGATATGCTAAACTTATAAAAGAGACAAAAAATCACTACAGTTCTTAATTAGATGGCAAATAATTTCTTCTGTGTAGTTAGTTATAAACTGATGTTGATTGTCTCAGTGAACTTCGATTTTATGCGGCTTTATCTCTTGGAGAAAAAATGCAAATTAAGGGGAATTTTTGACTTAACTACTGTCAAAGCAATTTATGGCTCGCTCATGATTTCTTTTACCCTAAATAAAACAATAATACATTATGACTTGTCTAAATAACTAAAAAACCGGTGTAATTTCCCTGGACAGTCTTAGAACCACGTCTGTGGA